TAGTAGAGAGTGATGTACATTGGGGGGGGGGTTCTTAGCGCAGAACTCAGCAGGAAGGGCGGCGCGGTAGCGAGTGTCACTAGTGCGGAGGTGCGTAATGAGGTCAGCGACAGTGGGAAAGGCAGAGAGGTCAGAAAAGAGGTAGGGAAGCATGAGACGGCTCAGTGCAGCAGTGGCAGGGGAGGAGTAGCGCGCAACTACAGCGTCGTACAAGGTCTGAGCACTCTTGTACTGACTAAAGTGCGCACGCTCAGAGGTAGGGAGGTGGCGACGCACAGCAAGACGTGCAGCAGCATCGCGGGTGGCCCACTGAGAGCGGACAGTGGGATCAGCATCAGCAGCAGGAGCAGGAGAGGCGCCAGAGGTGAGGTCAAAGAGAGAAAGGCTGTCTGCTCTGTCGCACTGTAAGAACAGCTGCAGGTCGTCTAACCAGACCTCAAAATCAATGGCGCGACCCTCAGCGTCAAAGGCTAGGACACTAGGGGTAGCCATGGCGACGATAGCGAAGCAGTGCAAGCAGTAGGGAAAGAGCTCGCAGTGGCAGTGGGATTGTGCTCACCAGGCAGGGCAGGTTGTGCAGCTCTGCAGAAAGGCGGCTCGGCGATCGGGCGGCTCGGGTGCACAGCGGCTCGGCTCCCGGGCGGCTCGGCGGCAGGGCGGCTCGGGTGCAGGGCGGCTCGGCTCCCGGGCGGCTCGGCGGCAGGGCGGCTCGGGGGCAGGGCGGCTCGGCTCCCGGGGGGCTCGGCGACAGGGCGGCTCGGCTACTGCAGGTGGGGCGGCAGGGCCGCGTGAAAGAACCGGGGCGGGGCCGCGTCAGAGCCGGCGGCAGGGCCGCGGGAGGGCCGGCGGCGGGGCTGCTTGAGAGCCGGGGCAGGGGCCTCGTGAGAGCAGGGGCGGGGCCGCTTCAGAGCTGGCGGCAGGGCCGCAAGAGAGCCGGCGGCGGGGCCGCCTGAGAGCCGAGGCAGGGGCCGCGTCAGGGCCGGCGGCGGGGCCGTAAGAGAGCCGGGGCGGGGCCGCAAGAGAGCCGGCGGCGGGGCCGCAAGAGAGCCGGCGGCGGGGCCGCGTGAGAGCCGGGGCGGGGCCGCGTCAGGGCCGGCGGCGAGGCCGCGAGAGAGCCGGGGCAGGGCCGTGATCAGGAGGCGCCGGCGGGGCCGCGTCAGAGCCGGCGGCGGGGCCTCGTCGAGGCGGGCGGCGGGGCCGCGTTGGAGCCGGCGGCGAGGCCGGCTAAGAGCCGGCGGCGGGGCCGCGTCAGGGCCAGCGGCGGGCCGCGATCAGCGGGCGACGGGGCCGCGTTAGAGCCGGCGGCGGGGCCGCGTCAGAGCCGGCGGCGGGGCCGCGATCAGCGGGCGGCGGGGCCGCGTCAGAGGAGGCGGCGGAGCCGCTGCAGAGGAGGCGGCGGGGCCGCGTCAAGCAGAGGTGGCGGGGCCGCGTCAGAGGGACAGCGGGGCCGCGAGAGTAATGGCGACCCGAAGGGTCGCAAAAAAAAATGCGCGCCTCGGGGCGCGCTTCGGTGGGCCCTAAAAAAACGGTCCTTAGGAAGGACCCGCTCTATACCATGTCAGAATCCCAACCACTAGACCATTGGGATAGAAGGGCTTGTTTCAGTAGCGGGTCAGTGCGCCCATAACCCCCCAGGCGAACGCGCCTGTAACCCCCCCTAGGATCGATCGGGGATCTCACAGTGTAGCTCTACTGACAATTTACTACGCAAGGGGGTCGCTTTTACGTGGGGGGAGAAAGAGCATGCTGCCTTCTCTGCCCTGAAACATGTTCTCTGTTCACCACCCGTCCTACGCATCGCCGACCCACATCGCCCCTTCGAAGTTGTTACAGACGCAAGCGACATCACCATTGGAGCCGTAATTTTACAAGACTTCGGCAACGGCCTCCAGCCCATCGCCTACGAATCACGAAAACTGCATCCGCCTGAGCGAAATTACCCGATACACGACCGCGAAATGCTCGCGATCGTGCATGCATTCAAGGTGTGGCGCTGCTACTTGACCGGCGCAGACGTAACAGTACGGACAGACCATCGATCCCTACAGTACCTCCGTGCACAGCCCCACCTCAACCCACGACAGATTCGGTGGCTCGATTTCCTTGAGTCAAACTTCCATTATACGGTCACCTATAAAAAAGGAGCCTCGAATATCGCCGACGCACTGACCCGCCCCACTGCCCAGATCCATGCGATACTACTCGCCCAGACCAGCCCGCTACTGACAGGACTATTTACCCACGGATATCAAACAGATCCATTCTTCACAGGAGGAAACTCGCAGCAATTCGCAGCAGCCAAGGGAGTCTATTACGTAAAAGCTGGGACCGAACGCATCTTGGTACCAGGGTACACACTACTACGGGAATTACTGTTACAGGAGGCACACGACGGAGTTACCTCGGGACATTTCGGAGTAGAGAAAACACGGCAGCAGCTACAGCGGTATTATTACTGGCCCGAAATGTTGACCGGCGTGCAACGACACGTGGCATCGTGTCCCACTTGCCAGATCATGAAGTCAACCCGGAAGCGGCCGGCGGGACAGTTGCAACCAATCCCACCTCCAGAGCGTGCTTGGCAGCAAGTGACGATGGACTTCGTCACGGGGTTACCGGCCGGGGCGAGTGGGAATGACGCAATCCTGGTCGTCGTCGATCGACTGACGAAAATGGCACACTTCGCAGCCTGCAAGAAATCAATCACAGCCGAAGAAACAGCCCGCCTCTTCATCTCTACCGTCGTTCGACTGCACGGGATACCAGCATCAATCATCAGCGACAGAGACACGAAGTTTACTAGCAACTTCTGGCGGAACCTGTGGCAGCAGTTCGGCACGCGCCTACAGTTCAGTTCATCGTATCACCCCGAAACCGACGGACAGACCGAACGGACAAACCAGACCATGGAACAGCTCATTAGGGCCACGTGTGATGATCCAAACACGTGGGAACAGCAACTGCCACTCATCGAATTCGCATACAACAACGCCCCATCCGCCACGATCCAACAGTCACCATTTTACCTGAATTACGGACAAGACCCAACAGTACCCATGACCCTGAATCCCGACAACCCCGTTCCACGCGCACAACAGTTCGCTGAGATTTTGCAAGCAGCACGAACCAGGGCAGCAGAAGCAATAAAAAAATCAAACATCATCGCTAAACGCAACGCTGACCGCCACCGCAGACCTGTCACTTACCAGCCCGACGACCTCGTTTTACTCGACACTCAAAACCTCCGCCTGCCCATCACCCCCAAACTCCGCCCTCGGACTGCGGGCCATTTCGAATTAGCCATATGATAACACCTGTCACCGCGCACCTCCTCCTCCTTGCTGACTGGTACGCCAGCCCCTCGTTCCACGTCAGCCTGCTTCGCCCTTACGTACCATCCACAAGCCAACTCCCACGAAATCGCCCAGCCAGCATGGCTCGTCCGCCAACCAAACCAATCATCACCCCCGACAAAATCCTGAGCCACAGAGTTCGCGACCCTCGAGGAGCCCGAAAGATCGAGTTCCTACTCCGCTGGAAAGACCGTACACCCACCGAGGACAACTGGGGTTCCCCTGGACAGAATTGAAAACCACCCTGTTCTCACCGAATATCTGCGCAGCCGAAACTTTAGGGACGTCCATGCTCTTTCGTAAAAAGGACCTCCTTAGGAGGGGGGGGGGTAGTGTAAGGAAAATCCCTTTTCCTTACTTCGCATCCCTGCTCAACGCGTACATCATTGTAGCACCTCAGTCAGCACCGTTACCACTCGCGATCCTCGCATCGACAATCATCCCGCCATTTTCGCACATCGCACCCTGACCTCACGGCTCGGCTGGTAACCAGCGCTCCGGGCCTCCGCTTCGACTCTTTCCCAACCTCAGTCCCAGGCTCGTCGCACGACAACCACAGTCCATTACCGTTACCACTGTAGTTTCGCTATATATTCTTCGCTCATGCCTTCGCTCATTGTATTCTTGCTTAGATAGTGCAATTCTAGTTCGTTCACTCAATTGCACTAGTAACAGTTCTACATGATCTCACATCCACGTGAAAGGAACCCTAAATATTTTCTTCAGTCCTGCACTTGAAACAGCTTGTGAAACTGAGGTAAACCTGCTCTGAAACCGAGGTAAGCCTGCTTGTACGGTAATTCCTGCCAGCACACCCCTCCACAGAATCTCCACCTGGCAGCGCTGTCGACGCTTCGCAGCCAGTAACCGACGACAGTTAGAAACCACGTGGACCATTCAGGTGGATGAGGGGGTTAACAGAAACTGTACCAGACTAGGGAGGCATAATTTCCACTCCAGGAATCGCTGCCAGGGTCAAGGGATTTCAGGGCTAAATAGGAGTGCAAATTTGGAAGCAGTAGAGTAGGACAAATGTAGCAAAGTGTGGGTGGGAATTCGAACACCTTTACAGCTGAATGTGTATCCAAACATATACCTAATCTACATATTTTGCCAGCAGCTCCGAAGAAAGCAAAACAAAACCGGGCAAATGGTATCTGAGGCTGCCCAAACCTGGTTTCTGGATCTCAGGTTACCCTCGTGATTTTCCTTCAAACCTGCCTTTGGCCCAGGCTCTACCCACCACAGCACCTACCCCACATCCCAATCTTGTTGACATCTCCCACTTCCCGGCGCCCATCAGACCCGCTTCCTAAGTACTTTTCACCTTCCCGAACCATCCCAACCACACGGGATCGCGTGCCACCCATCTACTTCGCACACCAAACCAGCAGTAAGTAGGTGGAGCAGGATCCATTTCCAATTTTCCTTCAGTTCCAGATTCTAATCTAGAGCCTGGTTTTCTTGCTGTCTCCCCCAGCAGCTGGTCAACCACGGAAATTTGCCAGGCCGTTCAAGAGATAACTTTCCTTCTCTTGTCGCTCCGGCTCTCGCCAGGCCCTCTGTGCTCGCAGCATCCGTTCTGTTCTCCGTGTGTCGCCTCTTAATCTCCAGTTTCGCACTTCACTTCCGTGAGACGAAGGCGCAATGGCGGACAAAACGATTGCCGTGATTCTGGTTGGAGGACCCACAACTGGTAAGCTCTACAGATCTACGGGGTGGAAAAGTTGGTGACTGATTGCATTGTATCATTACCGGTTTTGAAAGGTTGAAAGAAGGCGACTTTTGCCTCGCACTATGCTGAGTAAGTGTCATTTCCATCAGAATCTCTGACACTTCGAGACGGAGGAATCCACGCGGCCAGTTTCCGATTATTGCTCTTCGTGCACAGCTGATGTATAGCTTTTCATTCTGACAGATCAGCATCCTCATGACTGCCAAATGGATCAGAACGACGGATCTACCAGCCGGTTGTTCGACAGCCGATTAGCAGCTTCACTCCCTTCTGAATAAAGTTGTTCTGGGAGTGTGTACTCAACGCTATTTCCCTTCGTTGTTCTGCTTCGAAACTTGAGGATGAGTCGAAATAACGGTGTTGTGTTCAGCCATAGCATCAGAACTTCTCGAGAAGATCTCCGTCGTCGATTCCAAAACTCACACGACTTTCAAGGCAAAATCATAAGCAATGGTAGTTCCGCGGGCAGAAAATCTGGACCGAATTTCCTGGTCTGATCCGCATAAATCTTCATCCTTGCTGTTTTCGCCTTTCAACTCCTAGGATTCAAGGGGGTGCCAGATCCTCTTCCGTTCGAAATTCAAGGCTTGGCCTTCAGTCGAGGTGTTTCGGGGGTCTCACTCCGTGCCAGTGATCACCTTGGTCCGAGATTTGAGATGCCTGTAATCACCCGAAGCCAGCTCCATTGCTGTCTTCTCGCGCCTCTGCGACTTCCCTTGTCACCCTATGGCTTCTTTTCTTCTTTTCCCCGCCCCGTATCCTTCCTCATATCCTTCTCCGCACCCTTCCGCGTACTCTTCCGCGTGCCCTTCCGCGTTCCCGTCCAGGGACCCGTTTCCGACCGCTCACTCTGAATGTGCCCAAGCCGCTCTTCCCGCTGGCCGGCAAGCCCATGGTTCACCATCCCATCCACGCCTGCCAACAGGTAATTCATACTTCATTATCCAGATCCATGATGCATGATGCACAATCCATGATATATGATCCATGATCCACCCAAGACCATGAAGTATGCTTACGATCCGTGCTCCATGATCCATGATCCTGGATCCAGCACTGGTCAATCCATGCTCCACTTGTTTGCTCTCCATTCTCTTTCCAACAACACCTTTTTTTTTTCTCCTATTGGAGAGTTAGTTTCCCACACCCCCCTTCCCCCGCTGTTCCTCAAACCTCCGCTTCTTTCACACCCCCCTTCTCCGCGCAAGCTACCGCCGTCCACCACCTTTCTCTCCTTGTCTTCTTCCTCCCCATTCCCCCCCCCCCCACCCCTCCCTCTCCCATCCATACTCACCCGCCCCTCACGCCTGGCATGTGATCGTCGCTGCGTGCGTGTGTGCGGGCGGGCAGATCCCCAACCTGGTGAACGTGTTTGTGATCGGATTCTTCGAGGAGAAGGAGTTCACGCCCTTCATCTCCTCGCTCTCCGCCGAGCTGCGCGTGCCCATCAGGTGTGTGCGTGTAGTGTAGGTGCGCGGCGCGCATACTGGCCGTGAAAGCGAGGTCAGAGGCATGAGGTTTGTAAGGCAGGCCTGAAATTGATTCTGTGGCTGATGTAAAGCAAGGTTATTCCAGCATCCCCTCCCTCCACCTTCGTCTCTGTGAACGCGTTCCCGTCAGATATATCCCTCACGCTCACCTAAATCACCTCTCCTCCGGTCCCGTTCCTTCTCCTCTCCTCTCCTGCTTCCCATGATTCCTCTCTGCTGGAAAAAAATCACATCCTTTTCTTCACGATAAAAAAGGAGGCAAAATTGACTCGCGTGAGGACAAATTTGCGGGTCCATGGAAGTACTGTTTCCCTCCTCCCATCCACTCCTGTTCCTCTTGCCTACGTCCCCTCCCGCTCCCTCCCCCCTCCCTCTTCTCCCCTCCTCACTTTTCCTCCTCTCTTCCGCTCCCTCGTGCCCTCTTCCTCTCCCCTCAAGGTATCTGCGCGAGGACAAGTCACACGGGTCCGCAGGAGGGCTGTACCACTTCCGCAACACCATCCTGCAGGACGAACCCGTCAGTGCTATTCCATGTCGTTCCATGCCATGCCATGCCATGCCGTGCCGTGCCGTGCCGTGTCGTGCCATGCCATGCTCTGCACCTGTGCTGTCTGATCCGATGTGCTCTTGCACGTATGGTGGGCTGGCGTGTGGTTGGGTGGGTAGTGTATGGTGGCAACGGGTCTTCTGCTGTGTTCTTTGAGAGTAGCATCATGTCATGTGCAGTGGAGCGAGTTGTGGTTGGGGATGGGGAGAGTCGTGTAGACTGGTTGGTTCCATCTCTGGTTGGATGTTCGGTGAAGTGAGCTAGCGAACGAACGAAGCAACAATCAAAGGGCACGCGCCAACACTGCTATGCGCAGAGTATACTGTGCTACCATGTGCCGTACCACCAACGCAGCACTGAACGCGTGTGCTGCTTTGCTGTGCCACAGACTCGCCCTGATCGTCCCTGTCCTCATCCCACCCCCGTTCCAACTTTCCCCCCTGCCCCCCGTTGCTTCCCACTCTTGACTCACAGGATCACATCTTTGTGATTAACTGCGATGTCTGCTCCACCTTCCCCCTCGCTCCCATGCTCGGTATGCATGCATGCATACAAGCATCGTATCACGCTTGGGATTCTTAGTGTTTGTGTTTTCAGCACAACCTTGATTCACAACATTTTCACTCACCATGCATGGGATGGGAAGCACCTGAGAGCATGTGCGGCACCAAACACTGCTGTGCACCCCATACGTATCTACCCTGTCCCCTGTCCCGCGCATACAGATTCGCACAAGAAGCACGGCGGCGTGGGCACTCTGCTCTGCCGCAAAGTATCACTGCTCACTGCTCACCTTTCCTGCTCTTGACCCACCCTCTCTGCCTCCTCGCCACTCTTCTGTGCCCCAAGGCTCGTTGCTTCACGCTTGTTGCTGATACTGTTCACCTGCGCGCTTTCCTTCTCGAAATTCGCTCCGCTTACCACCCACACAGCAACTGGCTCGTAAATGCAAATGAAACAGGTGCCTCTTCTTATGTTTCCGCCTACCCCGTCCCACAGTTGCTTCTGCTCGCCTGTGCACATCTCCTCGCATCCTGCCCTTGTCCCCTGGAATTCCATTCGCAGGTGGCGCCAGACACTGCAAGTGACTTTGGCGAGCTGGTGGCGGACCCAGAGACGAAGGAGATCCTGCATTATGCTGAGAAGCCCGAGACGTTTGTACGTGCATGGGCCATGGGGTGTGGGCCATGGGGTGTGGGTGGGGTGTGGGGTGTGGGCCATGGGGTGTGGGGTGTGGGGTATGGGGCGTGGGGTTTGGGGCGTGGGGTATGGGGTGTGGGGCGTGGGGTGTGGGGCGTGAGGCGTGCGGCACGCGGCACGGAGCACGTTGCATGCAGCATGGCACTGTGCTTGGGATGTAGATAAAGACTCTGACACACGCGTGCACCACCATGGATTCTCCTTCTCAAACGAACGAGCTTACTCACATGCTCACACATGCACGCACAGCACAGGCTTGCAAATGAATGCGCACATGCACAAACAAATCTCACAACCCCCATCCATCCTACACACGGAAGGAGTGCGTGCACGGCTGGGCCTCTTGTTTCTGGGCTTTCCCCTCTTGAGTTCCTGAGTTCCTGAGTTCCATGAGTCCAACCAACAGGCTTGCTTAACCTCGTTGTCGAACTCTTCCTGTCCACCCCTCGCCTGTTGCCTGCTCTTCCTTCTTGCTTGTATGTGTGCTTGACTGTGAATGTGTGTGTGTGTGTGTGTGCATGCATGTGTGTGACAGGTGAGTGATCGCATCAACTGTGGTGTGTACGTGTTCCGCCCGGCCATCATGGACATGATCAAAGCAGCCATCGCCGAGGGTGACGGAGGTACGCTGAACCTCTCATCATGGTTTAGGGTACGCTACACGCTACACAGACACACACACACACACACACACACACACACACACACACACACACACACACACACACACACACACACACCCACACCCACACGCACACATGGGGCTGCCAAAGCCTTGCCCTCATCTGGCGGTGTCCCGTGTGGCAGACTCATTAGTGGGTTAGGGTGTTCCGCCTTGCCAAAAACGTGTGACCAAACAGGCAGTAACTCAGACTCCAGCTTCCTCTTTCATCTCCCCGCAGCCCCCACCCATACCCCTTGTCCCCTTACGATACCCATGTGCGTACTTACGTGAATACACATGTGTATGTTTTAGGCTCGTTTGATTCTAACCCGCCCACCCTCCCTGGTGTGCAACCCACCCGTGTGACTGGAGAGAACTATGTGTGGCTGGACCAGCATATGTTCACAGAGCAGGCGGGCAAGAAGTGACTTTTGAGGCGCCTCAAATGTCCCCCTACTTCCGCCACACCTTCCTCCCCCCCCTCCGTCACCTCCCAATGGAACCCCCCCTGTGTGTGCCACTCCAGAGAACTACGTACGGCTGGACCAGCATGTGTTTTCGAAGCAGGCAGGCAAGAAGCAGCTGTACGCGTTTGAGACAGATGACTTCTGGGAACAGATCAAGACGCCTGGGTGAGGAGTGGGGGGTGGGGACGGGGACGGGACGGGGATGGGAAGGGTATGCTGGGGAGGGTGAGTGCTTGGGGAGGAAGCAGGATTGGAGGTTAGATAGACGGAGAGGGAGGGAGTGTTGTAGCGTCACCATAGCGACTGTTGTCGAACTACTGCTTCGCCTCTTGCTCTGCCCCCTTGGTTATTCCCACCCACCAATCACGCTGCTTGCTTCTGCTACACTTACCAACCACTGCCAGTCCATCTTTCCATTTTCCCACTTTTCTCTCCTTTCTCCCTTCCCGATTCCTCACCCTCTCTCCTACCTTTCTGTTATCGCATATCCCCCACCATTTCCCTCCCCACAACCCTCCCGAAACCCCCCTTTTAAACACCCACCCTCATCCTCCATCCACCCACCCACCCAAAATCTCCCCCCCCCCCCTCTCTCCACGCACACCAGGCTGGCCCTCCGGTGCTCGCAGCTGTACCTGACGTACTACAGGCAGACGAGCCCCCAGCTGCTCGCGCCCTCCACTCCTGGCGGCCCCACCCTCATCGGCGACTGCTTCATCCACCCGTCTGCTAAAGTGCACCCCTCTGCCAAGGTGCGGCATGGGACAGGGTCGGGTTGCGATGGGGAAGAGGGTGTGATCTTTGAATCGACTTTTACAGGAAGCCACAGCTGCTGGCGCAGTCCGCATCTGGCGGCCCCACCCTCTTTGGCGACTGCTTCATCCACCGCTCCGCTAAAGCACACCCCTCCGCTAAAGCACACCCCTCCGCTAAAGCACACCCTCCGCTAAAGCACACCCTCCCCTAAAGCACACCCCTATGCGATGGTGAATTGGGACTGAAATTGGGGGGTGGAGGGAGAGAGGTGGAAAAAGGGGCGAGAGAGAGGAGAGGGGAGGGAGAGAGGGGAATGGGTGGGTGCATGAGTGGTGGGACGCGGAAGAACAACGAGTGGGAGGGGGTGGGCGGAGAGGACATTATGAGGGAGGTGGAATCTTGAGGCTGGGTGTGAATGTTAGGTCATTTCACGGATTATAATCCTTTTTTTTTTCTTGTAAATGATGGATTGGGGAACGTGATGTGGAGCTGGATGGAATGCACTCTGGGCCAAGACAGCCCTCTGCTTCGTCCTTCCATACCCTACTTCCTTCCACTTCACACGTCACCTCATATCACCCCACCACCCCACCCCACCTCACCCCACCTCACCGCACCTCACCTCTCCTGGCATGCCATCTCCGCCCTTCACCCCCCCCTCGTGCTTCAAACCCCCAGGTGGGGCCGAACGTGTCGATTGCAGCGAATGTGCGCATTGGCGCAGGCGTGCGCTTGAAAGACTGCATCATTCTGGACGAGGTCGAGGTCAAGGTCAGTCTCTCTCTCTTTTTCCTTCTACGTCAAAGCCTGTAAACCTCTTCCACACCTTTAAGTCCACTAGACTCGCAGGCGTGCGTTTGAAAGACTGCATCATTCTGGACGAGGTCGAGGTCAAGGTCAGTCTCTCTCTCTTTTTCCTTCTACGTCAAAGCCTGTAAACCTCTTCCACACCTTTAAGTCCACTAGACTCGCAGGCGTGCGTTTGAAAGACTGCATCATTCTGGACGAGGTCAAAGTCAAGGTCAGTCAGTCCCTCTCGCTCCTCTCTTCTCCCTCGTACCAGGGTGAGGGCCTCTAAACTTCTACCACTCTTTGAGTCGATTAGAAAAGCAAGCGTAGTGGGACAATGGGCACCTTGAATTCACGCCTTCCCCTGTATCTGCCCTCATACCTTCCCACATACCCTCCCCCCACCCTCACCTGGTCCCGTACCTGTGCCCATATCTCCCTGGCAACCCTTTCAGGAGAACACCATAGTGGTGTCCTCAGTGGTGGGGTGGATGTCCGTGGTGGGGCAGTGGCACCTTGAATTCACACTTTCCCCTGTATCTGTCCTCGTACCTTCACACGTACCTATCCCCCCCTCCCACCTGCCCCCGTACCTGCGCCCATATCTTCCTGGCAACCCTTTCAGGAGAACGCCATAGTGGTGTCCTCAGTGGTGGGGTGGAAGTCCGTGGTGGGACAGTGGGCATCTCACATACACGCCTTCTACCTTACCTCCCCCCCATACCTACACCTGTACCTGCCCCCGTACCTACCCCTGTATCCTTTCAGGAGAACGCTATAGTGGTGTCCTCAGTGGTGGGGTGGAAGTCCGTGGTGGGGCAGTGGGCACGCGTGCAGGGAAGCGGGGACCTCAAGTCGCGACTTGGAGTCACCATTCTCGGTAACGTGGCAGACCCACATTCTGCACTCCTGAGATTCTGTTTGTTTGCTTGTTTGTTCCTTCTTTTCTTTTCCTTGTTATTTCTGGCTGGGCTGCTTGGGGTTTGTATTGGAGCCATTTGTTTGAGATAAATCAACTGCACCTGCTTACGTTCTTTGATCCCCCTTGCTGTTCTACTCGCGTTTTCTCCCCTCACCTTTGTGCCTGATCTGCCCTCTCACAGGAGAGGATTTGGCGGTGGGCAAGGAGGCAGTGGTGGTGAACTGCATTGTGCTGCCACACAAGTTTTGAGACGTCCCAAATGTGTTTTCTCCCCTCACCTTTGTGCCTGATGTCCCCTTGAATCACGCAGGAGAGGACGTGGCAGTGGGCAAGGAGGCAGTGGTGGTGAACTGCATTGTGCTGCCACACAAGTCCCTCAACACAAGCGTGCAGGAGGAAATCATTCTGTAGTTAAGCCAAGCCAAGCCAATCCATGCCAAGCGAAGCCATGCAAAGCGGAGCCAATCCAAGACATTTGAAACATGCACTGAGCTGACTGCAGCTCTCTGCGCCTGCTCATCTCTGTGATTCTGTGAACCAGAGGGTAGGGTGGGGTACCCTTTTCCAAATCCACCTCCCTCCCAGCCGCCTGCAAGCCATTTCGTGACAAAGCATCCTGAAGTCCGTATTCTTTCTTGCAATTCTGACATTCTCTGTTTCACACTGTACTAATACGTACTGTTGAGGAAATGGGAAGGCCATGGATTTTAAATGGCTCGTGGGTAGTTGTGCGTAACCTGTTAGCATGGCATTGGCGCACGACATCTTTTTGCAACGAAGTGCTCAATGTTGAGCGCAATCTTGTGCGCCGAAAACAAAGACCTTCTGAAGCAGCTGAGGACGCGGCACCTCAAGCAATTTTGCACGATTGATCGCAGGATCGCTGATTCAACCGTACTGAAATCCTGCTGAAAGTTTTCAAAGCTTTTGAAACCATTTAAAACTCCTAAAACATTCGATCCTGCGCAGGATCGATCGCAGGATAGGTGCTGGAGGTGCCGCGTCCTGAGCTGCCCTTGAGCAACGACACGTGCCGCAAATTGCCGCCGAAACAGCCCAAGCGCACGCGGACCGTTCACTCTCGGTTTCGTTCCTGACAGGTACCATTCAAATCCTCGCATTCCCCTTATGGCAATCTTTTTTTCTCCTCAAGAAAACGTAACTTCCCTAATCCGCCGCGCCCCTTTTTCTCGGCCATCGTGCCGCCTTAACGAATCGTCAACGAGTAGTCAACGAGTAGTCGACGAGTCGTCAACGAGCCGTTAGCGCTCCATAGATGAGCTGCTAACGACGCGCAGTCGCACATAATTTTGTGGCGCCTGCCGAGCCTAGCCCGTTTGGAGAGCAGGGCGGAGATGGTCTCCCCCAGACCGCAGAGGGGGCTCGGCGCGCTTACATGGGTGCGCGTGAGGGCGCGGATGTTCCCGCAATGGTGCTCGGCGGAGCAGCGGTTAGCGCAGGGAGGGGGGAGGCGGCGGAAGTGGGTGTGGGTGTGTGCGGGGATGGCTGCCGCTGCTGTTCTCTTGTTGGCGATGCTGGTGAGTGAGATGAAACGGTGCCTGGTGAGATGAAACTGTGGCTGGTGGGATGAAACAAGGGAATTGGGCGGACTGTTTCCACTCCCCCCTGCCTTGTCCTCCCATTCACTCTGCGGTCCTGCCCGTCGCCCACCTTTTCTATCCCTTTTCACTATTCCCTGTACCCTCTCCCTCTCCCCCTCCCTCTCCTGATCCCTCGCCCTCTCCCCTTTTCCCCCTCACCTAAAAGTGTCTTCTTGCTTTGACCCTGCAGCCTCCTCAATCTCTCCTCCATCAATCCTCACCCCCCTGGATTCCCTTGTAAGAAACGGACTGTATTTCACAGAAACGTATTTCAAATCTTGCCTATAACACAAAGTTGCCCTTCCTCCACCACCGTCCCAACCCCCTTCTCCCTCCGTCCATCAGACTCAACTCACGCCACCGAAACCTCCAGATCGTCCTTTCATCATCACCCCCTCCTCCTCTTCCTCCTCCTCCTACCCATCCTCCGCATCCCCCTCCCCTGTGCCGCCGCGCATAGCGGTGTGCCTGGTGGGTGGCGCCAGGGACTTTGAGCTCACCGGACCCAGCATCGTCACCCGGCTACTAGCCGGCCTCGCTTCTTCCTCCTCATCCTCCTCTTCCTCCTCGTCCTCCTCTTCCTCCTCCTCCTCTGACCCCCCCACGCGCCCCTCCTCGCCCCTCCCGGTGCTCTTTCTCAACTCGCCTCTTGACGAGAACGCGCACAAGCTCTGGGCGCTCAAGTGGGCCGTGCGACCACGACAACGCACGACCAATCAACCCACACGTGACCCCTCCAGCAGCAGCGGCAGCAGCGACGGCTCCTCCTCCTCCGCAAGTGAGCTGCCACCACCACTCACCAGCGACATCTCACCCAGCATATTGCACAGCGATCCGGGCACATCGGGAGCTCCAGGGACTCTGGGGGCGTTGATGGGGACTGTTTTACTGGGTGCAGTGAACATCTTCGCACCCACGTGGCTCAACGAATCCGCTCTCCTGCACAACCGCTCCTCGTTTCTGTACGGCGGCACGTCCCCCCAGGGCGTGCAGGGCTTACTGCAGTACTTCCGGCTCGTGGAGACCTGCATTCCGCTCATCCGAGGGTACGAGCGGCGGCATGGGGTCACGTTTGACTGGATCGTGCGCACGAGAGTCGACACGTTCTGGTCCGCGCCGCTTCCTCCTCTCGCTCCTCTCTCTTCTCTATCTTCCCCCCCTCCCTCTTCTCCTCCTCCTCCTCCTCACTCTGCCGGTGTCCTGTCCCTGCTGCTGAATGCCGCGCTGCACCGAGGAGTGGGCGATGGTGCAGCAGGGGGCGGAGGCACGTACTGGGTGCCGCATGGGACGGACTTCTGGGGGGTGAACGACCGCTTTGGCGTGGGCACGTGGGGCAGTGCTGAGGCTGCTATGGCTCGCCTGAGCATGCTGGATGGAGTCATGGCGCGTGGCTATGAGTGAGTGGGGAGGGGGGCCATGGGGTGGGTTGGAGTGAGTAGCGGGAGATGGTAAATGCGTGGCTTGGATGGGTTGAGCAGAGGCTGCTATGGCTCGGCTGAGCATGCTGGATGGAGTCATGGCGCGTGGCTATGAGTGCGTGGGGAGGGGGGCTGTGGGGTGGGTGGAAGGTGGGGGGAAGGTGGAGGATGGTGAGAAGGTTTCTGAGTGTGTGCTGGCATTAGTGTGTGAGTGGGAAATGTGGAGACTGGTTAAAAAGAGCTTGTGTGTGATTGGGGGATGTGGAGACCTAAAAAAAGCTCATGTGTGAGTGTGTGGGGTGGCATGAGTGTGTACGTGAGTGGGTACCCTAAACCCTCATCCTAAACCCTCATCCTCCCAACCCCAGCATGGACCGATCTCAATTGAGAGAAAGGTTGAAGGGGGCAGGTACAGGGTGGGGGGGTGCGCGTGGGTTCTGAGACGTCTCAAAACCAATTGAGAGAAAGATTGAAGGGGCCAGCTACAGGTGGCTTTTGAGTCGACTCAGAAGTCAGCTCGGTGAGGGGGGTGCAGGAGGGTTTTGAGACATCTCAAAAGCAATTTACAGAAAGGTTCAAGGGGACAGCTACAGATAGTGGGGGTGCGCGTGGGGCGAGTGGGGCGAGTGGGGCGAGTGGGGCGAGTGGGGCGAGTGGGGCGCGTGGGGCGAGTGGGGCGAGTGGGGCGAGTGGGGCGAGTGGGGCGAGTGGGGCGAGTGGGGCGAGTGGGGCGAGTGGGGCGAGTGGGGCGAGTGGGGCGAGTGGGGCGAGTGGGGCGCGTGGGGCGCGTGGGGCGCGTGGGGCGTGCCCTTCTGCGCGCTCTTCTGTTCAACCCTAAACCATTTTCAATCCCACAGCCGCCTGCCCTTCCCCTCCCGCTCGTTTCTCCCCACCCTCTCCCTCGTCATTGTCCCCTCATGTACTCAACCCCTCATCTCTCCCGCCACCCCACCCACATCCAGCGATCTCAATCCGGAGAAGGGCACAGCTACAGGTAGCGGGGGTGCGCGTGGGGCGGGTGGACGTGCCTTTCTGTGTGCTCTCGCGCCGGCCCTACCCAGATGACGACGTCCTCGCTGCTGCGCTCTCCTCCTCTTCTGCTCCTCACCAACAGCTGCCATTCCTCTCCACTTCTTACCTTCCCCATCCTCTCCCTTCTTTCCCCCCCCCCCCCGCTCTTCCTCCCCACGCCCATCCGCCCCCTTCCACCCCCACCCATCCAGCGATCTCAATTCGGAAAAGGGTCTGAGGGCGCAGCTACAAGTAGCAGGGGTGCGCGTGGGGCGGGTGGACGTGCCTTTCTGTGTGCTCTCGCGCCGGCCCTACCCAGATGACGATGTTCTCGCGGCTGCGCTCTCCTCCTCCGCTCCGCTCAACGGCGCCAAGTGCTGGCCCTGCACTCCCGCCTACACCGGCCTCCGGGTAAGGCTCATGTTTTCAGTTCAAGGTTCAAGGCTCGAGGCTCAAAGCTTAAGGCTCGCTCGCTCTTAAGATTTTCTTTGGAGGCGCCTCACGAAGTTGCGACTCTCAAGTGCTGGCCCTGCACGCCCGCCTACCTACACTGGACTCCGGGTGAGCTTGCTTCAGAGGCGGAAGCAAAGGTTGATTCTCTTGCCTCACAACACAAGTGCTGGGCCTCTGCCAATGAAGGCAATGAAGGCAGAGCCTCAGAGGCGGATCCTCCTGCCTTCATTGGCCTCCGGATGAGGTGTAAAGCTTGAGGGTCAAGGTTTGATGCTCATTATTCACCTTAAAGGCTAATTTAACAGTCTAGGCTCATGATTGTTTATAAGGCGCCTAGTTTTGAGGCACCTCAAAGGCTTATTAACAGTGAAGGTTCATGATTGTTTATAAGGCGCGTCAAAGTGCCCTGCATGTGTGCTGGCCCTGCACGCAAGCCTGCCTACACTGGCTTCCGGGTGAGGCTCGAGCTTTAAAGTGCGACGTTCAAAGTTCAAGAGTCAAAATTGCGCGCTTAAAGCTCTGTTGTAGGGTTGCTTTGGAGTGGGCTTGGAGTGGCCTCACCAGGTGGCTGTGTCTCAAGTGCTGGCTGCCCCTCTCGCCCACCCGCCAACACAAGCCTCCATGTGCGACGCAGACACGCAGGTTTCAGTCAGTTGAGCGGTGCAGGTGCAGGTGCAGGTGCAGGTGCAGGTGCAGGTTCAGGTGCAGGTTCAGGTGCAGGTGCACTTTTGAGGCGCCTCAATAGTAGCCTCCATGTGCGACGCAGACACGCATGTTTCAGTCAGTTGAGCGATGCAGGTGCCGGTCCGTCCGCCCATACCCCCACGCACTCGTTGACGCGCCCATGCTGGATCGGTTATCGTCCCGTTCACTCGCTCCCCCATTCAAACCCCTCCCATCTTCCCCATCCCTCCCCAACCCCTGTTCCCCCCAGGCGCTACTCAAGTACGCCCTCACTCCCCCCCGCCCCCCCACGTGCTGGATCTGTCTTTCTCACCCAATGATCAGTCACCTGACATTATTCTCAGCGAGCAGCAAACCAATTCGGGCTTAAAGCAGAAGATGGACTGCTAAGAACCACCCTCACCCCCCCCCCTCCCCCCCCCCCCCCCCACGCGCTGGATCTGTCTTTCTCCCGCAACAATCATCCCCCCACCCACCCATTTCCCCCCAGGCGCTCCTCAAGTACGTCCTAATCCCCCCCACGCGCTGAATCCGCTCGCCCTCAGCTCCCATTCCCTCAACCGTCCAACCCCCCCATTCCCTCATCCCTCCCCCCTTTTGATCCTTCCTCAGGCACTCCTCAAGTACGTCCTCATCCCCCCCACACGCTGGATCCGCTCGCCCTCCGCAGACTGGCTCAACCGCCCCGCCTCCCCCCGCGGGGCAGTGCAGCTGTGCGACCCCACTCACCCCTGGGAGCCCGCCTGGCCCGCCGCCTTTGACGCCGCTGCCGGCGCTGACCTGGCTGCTCTCAGGAGGGTGGTTGAGGATGCGGGCCTGGGGGAGTGCGAGCGACGGTTTGACGAGGTGAGGGGGGAGGTGGGAGGGGAGGGAAGGGGGGGGAATGGGAGGTGAGTATGAGTAGTGCTGCTGGTTTGCTTTGAGATTTGCTGGTATGAGTAGGTAGGTAGGTAGGTAGGTAGGTAGGTAGGTAGTAGGACCGACAAGACAAGGGCTTGCTGCTCGCTGCTCCCTGAGACGTGCCTCAACCGCCCCGCCTCCCCCCGCGGGGCAGTGCAGCTGTGCGACCCCACTCACCCCTGGGAGCCCGCCTGGCCCGCCGCCTTTGATGCCGCTGCTGGCGCTGACCTGGCTGCTCTGCGGAGGGTGGTTGAGGATGCGGGCCTGGGGGAGTGCGAGCGGCGGTTTGAAAAGGTGAGGGGGGAGGGGCGGAGAGGTAAGAAGTACGAGTAGACCGACAAAGCTTTGCTGCTCTCAGGAGCGTGGTTGAGGATGCGGGGTTGGAGGAGTGCGTGAGGCGGTTTGAAGAGGTGAGTATGAGTATGTTTTAGGATTTGAGGTTCTACCGCCCTGCAAGGGTTTGCTGCTCGTTTCCTGAGAAATCGGGCTCAACCGCCCCGCCTCTTCCCGCCCCACCTGCCCCTGCGACCCCACCTGCCACTGCGACCCCACTGACAAAGCCGTTGGTGCTGACCTGGCTGCTCTGAGGAGGGTCGTTGAGGATGTGGGCCCGGGGGAGTCTCCTCCTCTTTCCCTTCCCCTTCCCGCTCCCCCTCCCTCTCCTCACTGCCCACCGCTCACCACCCTCCACATTCGATGACTGGTCATCCGCACCCATCGCTGCCACCTTCTTAGAGACCTGTCAAGAACTTCTCCTTGCCTCGTCCCTCAATCCCCCTCCCCACGCCTCTCCGCGACTAATCTCTGCAGTTCAAGTCAGCAGCGGACAAGTGGTCAGCCCCACCCATTGCATCCATCTTCTTAGAGATGTCTCAAGAACTCCCCCCTCTTTCCCCAAACCCCCCCACGCCTATTCGAAATTTCTCTCCGCAGTTCAAGTGGGCAGCGGACGAGTGGTCAGCCCCACCCATGGCAGCCATCTGCCATCGCGTCCTGCTGGGCCCCCTGGACCTCCTCTCTGCCTCCAGGTGTAGCAATAGCCTCTCTGCTCCCTTGCCTGCATGGCCGCTCACCGCAGTAGCAGCACTGGTGGCGGTAAGGAACCCCCTCAAGAAAGAATCCCCCCTTCTTCCCCGTTCCCCCTTTACCCCTTCCCCCGTTTCCCCCTTCCGCAGTTCAAGTCAGCATCGGACGAGTGGTCAGCCCCGCCCATCATTGCCATCTGCCATCGCTCCCTGCTGGGCCCCATGGACCTCCTCGGCCCGCCCTCCGCCTCTTTCTACACCGCCACCTCCCCCCTCTCCGCCTCCAGCTCCCTTGCCTGCACCGACACTCTCAGCAGCAGCAGCAGCAGCAGCAGCAGTGGTGGTGGTGGTTCTGAGGAGGGGGTGGGAGGGGAGGGGACGTGGGAGGAGGAGGTGGTGAGGCGAGTACCGGGTGTGGCAGTGGTTCGTGGTGCTCTGGACGAGGTCAGCAGCAGCAGTGCGCACAGGCAGGGGAGGCCATTGGACGTGCTCAAGGTGAGTGAAACATTGAGCACGTGTGCTCAAGGTGCTCATTCGCACGTGTGCCAATCCTGCAAGCACTGCAAGCACTGCATGCACTGTGTGCTGCCTGCCTATCCAGCCGTGCTGCGAGGTTCGTGGTGGGCAAGATGAGCAGCAGCAGTGTGCACAGGCACCTCTCACATTACAGCAACGCCATTCTACATCGAGGTCAGAGGTGGTGTGCTTTATCTGCATTTCCTCCTGGGTTCACCCGAAAGCCTTCCCTTCCCGAAAAGAAGAAGAAGAAAAAACAATAGAGTGTGTTTATTCGTGCCTGTGCTAATTCTGCCGCTCAGTCCAGTGTGCTGCCTATCCCACCGTGCTGCCAAATTCAGGCTGGGTGGGTCAGCAGTGCACACAGAGTTGGGGTACCAGTGTATATGCTTGAACGCAGTTGTGGTTTGCTCAGTGTGGGTGACCATGTGAGAGCCAGTAACTTCTGAGTCGATTTAAAATCGAGGTGGCTTTGAGTCACTCAGAAGTGCTTGAGGCGAGTTGTGGGTAGGCACATTGAGCCACTCATTGTGAGAGTTGGGGTACCACAGCGCTGTTCACACATGACCGTACACATGCACATGCGTGTGTGTGTGTGTGGATGTGTTGATGTGTGTATCTGCGTCTGTGTATCTTTCCCAACTGCATTACACTCATTTTCCCTCTTCACGTCTTCTCTCTCCTCCCTCTTCTCCCTTCCTCACCCACACCCCCCTGCCCCAGTTGAGCCTCGATGGCTCCGACCTCCCCACCCTATCAGCCCTGCTACGGCAGCACTCCCTCCTACCAGCCTGCCAGCTGCTAGTCCCCTTCCCCACCGGCCAACCAGAGAGTGCCAAGTGGCGCAGGGACATCGTGGCAGGGCTGGAGCAGGAGCAGGTGTATCTGGCAGCGTGCGTGCAGGAGTGGTGGAGTGCGGTGGAGAGATGTACCTTCTTCTCTGTGCCTCACTGCTCCTCGCTGCTGCGGGGTGTCAATAAGCGCATTCAAACTCAGCAAGTGTAACCTGCTTTGACTGCCCATGCATGTGACTCAGCTTAGGGAACACACTTCTGCGACACCCTGATGAGAGATTTTTGAGCTGGCTTGGTACGGTACGGTAACTGCTGAGGAACAACCGGAAATTCAGCTGCATTCAGCGACAGGCACTGTTGTCACCTGTCAGCACAAAACAAAGCACAACAGTGTGGAGGGCAACAGTGGAGAGAAACAGTGTAGAGCCGGCAGATAGAGTGGCTCTTGTGGTTTTAATTTTGCATCTTTCACAAAAGCTCGCACAGTGCAATTTCTCTGCTGCCCAACACATGTTTCTTTCACAAAAGATGATAGAGTGGCTTAGGTGTTCCCCTGTCTCACCAATATACACAGCCCCAACACCACCAGCTGAGGCAGCAGCACCTTCTCTCAGTCTAACGAGCAGCTCCCTGCGTTCACATCACACCTACGGTATGAAGTCCATTAGGGGCATGGAAAGAAGTGGGCTTGGTGTGGTAAATTTTGGATCACCGTTTTCATCAAGCTATCTACTCCGATTTTTCAGTGGTTCCTGCTCAAACTGATACTTCCAATCGACACCAAGCTTTTTTCCTTTCTGAAGTGCAGTTATGACCTCTTAACGGAACAAACATCAGTTACTGTTACCATAATCTCGCAATCTAATGTTTTCGTGCTTTCGCTCACAATCTGCTGATCTCGCAAGTGCAACTTCGCGATTCGCGACGGGTGCAGCTCGTGGCGCTTTGGCAATCAACCGCCGGTTCAAACCGTTACTCACCTTCTTAGGGGGGGTCCAGCTCGTACATTTACTGCTCGTAAACCCCTTCAGTTACCACATTTTTTGTGGTAACCCTTTATTGAACGTGTCGAGCAAACACAATCAGCTTCTGTTCGCAATCGTCTGACTCACGTTACTGGAATCAGCAGGGTCGCGAACAAGGGTACAGCACCGCGTCCTGGCCACTACAGTTCGTTTCCCTTGATCGCTTGCATGATTTCGTCAGTGGTTCGCTCTACTCGCCAGCGCCCCCTGCGCCTGCACAAAAATTTTCAAGCTATGATTGACGAGGGAAACTGTTACCTCGTTTTCAACGTGGTCAGAGCACTGTTGATTCGTGTGGCGGGGAATGTGTCCGCGCTTCTGAAATTACAGGATGGTTGGACTCCACTCACAAAGCATTCGTTTCTAGGTACGGTCGTCATTTTTTAACCTCGATACGTGCGTTGGTACGAAAAATCCCGAAATGAACGAACTGGACACGCCCTCAGGTATGTGCTCCCACCCCGAAAAAACGACTGCACAACTGTAACTCCCCCTAGCAATGATAACAGTTTTTGAAATGTTGTGGCTGCATCGCTTGTTTGCATCTTATCTCACGAAGATACTTCGTGGCGCCTACTATGTCACCTGACTACGGCAATCTTCTCCAAAAAGAACAGACCTGGCCATTGACCAAGCCCTTCCCTTGCCCCAATGATGGGGAGTGAAAGCAGCCGGGCGATCCAAGATTTCTGTACAGTCCAGCGACCCGACGCGCGCTGGAGCAGTACTACTCAACTTGGAGGTGACCCAATCACGTGATTGGGATGGCGCGTCGTTTCTGGCAACCAAATTCGCAACTCCATGGCTTACCTGCCGTGCTGGACAGGTCTCCATGGCTTAGCTGCTATATCCGCGCAGCTGACTCGGCTCGGTACAGCCAGGTTCACTGAAATGGTAACACAGCCACCGAGGCGGCCCAGCGCCTTCCCGCCTCCTCCGCGTTCCCGTCCTCGTCCTGCCACCCCGTGACGCGTCCATGCTGTGACTTACAGCGGCATTCCATAATCATCCCTCCCCATGCTACCCTAATAAAAGTGGCTCGGGGCTAAACTAGTAGAGTCACCTCCGAGCCAAGCTAGTACTATTGAACGAGTATTACGAGACTCACCTCCGCCTGGATCACGAGCACCGGATCTCCAGCAAAACCTCGCCCTTTCCTGTATACTACTACCAACATGGAGGGCGTGGTATACCTCTTCCTCGTCCTCCTCTGTAAGCGACACTTTATTGTGTCCGCTCTGCTTCCTTCCGCCGTCAGAAGCACTGCCACCTGCGGGGTTCTGCCTGTATGGGCGGTTTCATGCCTAACGGTTCCCTCGCTTGTTTCCTCTGCTGCCTGCCCGCCAGGTGCGGCGCTCTTCACTGAGGCCGCGTCTGCATCACTCCTTGCGCCACTCCTCCCACGCGGCGGCGACAGCGTTTCTCCTGCGTCTGCCGCCCAGGCCAGGCCTTTGGTTTGGCAAGGGAAGACGATCTGTAAGTGTCTGCTGCGCGCTTACTGAGCTCTGTGACTCTCCGTAAAGCTGGTGGGACGAATCCGAGGCTCCTAGTGTCGTTTCCTTGCTCGTTTTCGGCCCGTCTTCTTGTTGCGATGTAACTGCTATGGTGTGCCTGTGGCCTGTTGTTTTGAGCGGTGGTGGCCACTTGACCATTCACGTGCATGAATATGAATGTGGTTGCTGTGCATGACAGCACTTGCTGTGCATCTGAAAAAACAAAGAGTCAGCATTTGTGCATGCTAGCACTGTACTGCTCTTCTGCGACTGTAGTGTGCCCAGAGAACGCTTCTCAAGCCGTGGTGCTTCCACCTCTCACCTGCTATCCTTCCACTGCCCCTGCCTTCCCCATGCACCCGCCCTGATCCCTGCCATGCCATGCCCATGGCCAGTTAAGTATGCAGTCAAGCTGCATCCCACGAAAATAAATGGAAAGTTAGTTGGTGACGAAGGTGCTTCGGGGAAATACATCTTGAAGGCAGTGAGGTGCGTCGTCTCCGTGTGGTTACTTTCTGCTGGTGCTATTGTTCCATAGGATCACAAGGACAGGATCAAGAGACCCTGGTTGCACCCTTCATTGCTCTGGTTGCACCCTTCATTGCTCTGGTTGCACCCTTCATTGCTCTGGTTGCACCCTTCATTGCTCTGGTTGCACCCTTCATTGCTCTGGTTGCACCCTTCATTGCTCTGGTTGCACCCTTCATTGCTCTGGTCGCACCCTTCATTGCTCTGGTCGCACCCTTCATTGCTCTGGTTGCACCCTTCATTGCTCTGGTTGCACCCTTCATTGCTCTGGTCGCACCCTTCATTGCTCTGGTTGCACCCTTCATTGCTCTCGAACTGGTGCCCCCTCTCCTCCCCCCCCCCACCCCCATCCCCCCCTGGATCACTCTTTTCCCCTGAACCCCCTTGCTGACTCCCAGACCCTCTACTATCGGCTCACTCTTTGCCCCTCTTTGCGACCCCCTCTCCATGTCCTGTTGGCAGGTATTCAGCAACGTCATACTACATCAAATATACCGTCTTCATATTGAACATCAGGTCTGGCGGCGAGGCTCCTACCTTAAGTGGCGGAAAATCCTGTGCTGCCACTGTGCTGGGTCAAAGTGGTGTACCTTGGACAAACATCACGAGTGATACCGTCATCACCCGGATATAAGACAGTGTTGAATAGTAGACAGGGGTTGTCTATTATACGAGTGTCTCTTATAAACGGGGTAGCCTCATTATAAGACACCTATTTGTGTGTAGAGGCAAATGGCAAATGTATAACGAGGAAGTATCTTCTAAACGGATTTTTGTCCATTTATAAGACTGACTTTTTTAATGAATGAGATAAGACATACATGTCTTATATCCTGGCGATGAGGGTAAGACTGGCCGAGCAAGCGCTACAGCTTCACTTTCACAGGGGGCGTAGGACCAGGGAGTCTGGCTGATGTACGGAGCGTGATTAATAGTGCGTTGGGCCAAGGGAAATTTGTGAGGACTTGGTATGGAACGAAGTTTGAGGCTCTCTCTGTGAGAATGAGAATGAATCAACTATGAATGAAGTGGATACATATAGGAAACCCTAAATGGGTTGTACCCCCTATGGGATACCCCACTATAGCCTACACAACAGCATAAGCTATAACGTTCTGACACACCCCCATAGGCAAAGTGGGGGAGAACAAGGGGTCACAAGACCAGTCAAGGAAAGCAAAGCAAAGCAAGCTCAGGGTGGATCACAAAGTCACCACACAGTCTGAGCACAAGGTCAAGGCCACAAGGCCAGTTCACAAGCAAGAGTACACACATATATATAAATCTATACAAGCAAGAGCAGGTATACATATATGTGAGAGTACAAGCAAGGTCAAGAGGAGAGCAAGTGAGGCAAGACGGGCACAAGACCCAGCTGAGTGCAGAAGCGCTGATGATCACAAGGCGCAAATGCCTTGGTGAAGACATCAGCAGTGTTGGCCTCAGCGGCCACGTACGCAAGCCGCAGCTGTCCACGCTGCTGTAGCTCACGAGCAAGGAAGTAGCGGAGAGCAATGTGCTTCGTTCTGTGCTCCAAGCGCTGCTCTCGACACAAGGCCAGCATGGCCTTGTTGTCTACGTACAGCACTGGAGGAGAACAAGGCGGCTCTCCAAGGTCAGTCAGCAGGTAGGTGAGCCAGCGAAGCTCCTGTGCAGCCATGGCCCCGGCGTAGATCTCAGCCTCACAACTGGAGCCGAGAACAGAAGACGAGCGAGTAGCCCGCCACGAAACAGAGCCGGAACCAAGGCTGAAGGTGTAACCCTGTGACGACCGCTGCGTAGCCTGGTCGTCAGCCCAAGAAGCATCTGCATGCCCAGTAAGGACCACTGGACTCCGCCCTCCAAGCACTAGCCCCATGCCTGACGTACTGCACAAGTAGCGCAACACCCTCTTCGCTGCAGCCATGTGCTCTGGTCGGTGTCTCCCAAGAGCAACATAGCGTGCGAGAATGCTAAGAGGGTATGCAAGGTCAAGACGTGTGCAGGTCATCAGGTACATGAGGCAGCCAACAAGCTCTGGGTACGGGCCACTCGACTTCACGTACTCATCCGAAGGCAGAGCTGAGAGCGAGTGGCGAGTAGGCAGAGGAGTGGCCTGAGGCGAGGAGTACGTGAAGCCGAAGCGTCGAAGGACCTGCTGCACCATGTGTGACTGAGTCAGGGTAATGGTGCGGCGTGCTCTGTCCCGGGTGATCTGCAAGCCAAGGTAGCTGCGCAGTTCACCCAAGTCTGTGCACGTGTGTCTCTTCTGCAGCTCGGACTTCACATAGGCGAGTCCAGCAGTGTCAGCTGTGGCGAAGACCAAGTCGTCGACGTACACGAGGATGTAGAACGGCGGCAGAGAGGTGTCGGTGCGCAGAAAGAGCGACGGGTCAGCAGTAGAAGGAGCAAACCCAAGTGCCGCCAGCGTAGTCATCAGTGTGTCGTGCCACTCACGTGGCGCGTGGCGGAGATCGTAGACTGGATGCCGGAGACTCCACTGGGTACCAGGAGGGAAAGACCCAGTGAAGCCAGGTGGGCGACGCAGCAAGATCTCCTTGTGCAGGCTGCCCTGCAAGAAAGCAGTGCTGAAGTCGAGAGAGTGCAGCTCGTAGTCACGGTGAGCAGCAACGTGCAGCAGTACCCAAAGAGTGGTCATCTTCGGGGTGGGGGAGAAGGTCTGAAAGTAGTCAACTCCCTGCCGCTGACTGAAGCCACGAGCCACGTAACGCGCCTTGAAGACAGGCGGAGAACCTGGCGGCCGCTTCACCCTGAAGATCCACATGCCACTGACGATGTTCGCCCCAGGAGGGGGGACAGCGTCAACGTAGGTGCCTGTGGACTTCCAGGAAGCCATCTTTGCATCCATAGCTGTCTGCCACTGAGAGGAGTAGGGACCCTCTATCGCCTTCGCGTAAGAGCGCGGAGTCGGGATGTCAAGTGCATCCGGGTCTCCCTTAGGGGTAAGCAGTACGGACACGAGATGAGGTGAAGCAGCTGCCAGACACTGGAACTCCTCCTGCCTGTCCTCAAGGACGTCCGTGCCAAGGGCACACTCACCCCCGACGGACGGAGGACAGACAGACTCAGACTCAGCAACAAGACTCGCAGCGTAGTCTAAGCGATTGCGAGCAGCAAAGTTGACGAGCTCAGCAACTAGAGCAGACGCAGCAGTAGACTCAAAAGAAGGGTCAGTGACGACAGTCGCAAGGAGACGCGTGACAGTAGGACTGGTAGCACGAAGAGAGTCCGACTCCGGGTCGGGAAGAGCAGGAAGAGAGGACTCAGGAGGAGAAGGCAAAGGGGCACGCAGAGGAGCAGTGGACAGACGCAGAGACATCCGATGCGTACCAGGGACAGGAGGAGGACGCTCACGCGAACTACGACCACTAGCGCGAGTAGGACGGACATGCGACGTAGGGCGAGACGCAGGCTCACAAAGCTCAGCAAGACCTCCAGTAGTACCAGTGTAGGGAGAAGGAGCAGGCAAAGGGGAGGTAGGCTGCAGCTGAAACTGGGGCTGGACAGGCTGCGGACACTCTAAGGGAGGAGGAGGACCAGCAGAAGGTGGAAGACCAAGAACCTGCTGCAGGAGTGGAACGAAGTACGGTCGAGGCCGCGTGGCGACGCCAGAAGCAGCAGGGACAACACTTGTACCCTCAGTAGGAGCACCCGCTCCAGCAGCACCTCCAGCAGCTCCAGAACCTCCAGCAGCACCAGGAGCACCTCCAGCAGGACCGCCAGCGGCAGTCTCAGCGCCAACACCCGCAGCAACACCAGCTCCAGTCGAACCCGCAGGCCCAACAGCTCCAGTACTACGAGTACGAGCACCTCCGGGACCCGCGACCGCAGCACCCTCAGCAGCCGAAGAACCTCCAGCACCAGCAGCACGACGCCAGCGCCGGGCAAACCACTCGCGCAGCTCCTGTGGAGAGAGTGGCTCCCGGCGAGATGAAGCACCCGGAGAACCTCCAGGTGGAGCACCTCCACACGCAGTACCCCCAGGCGTAGCACCCCCAGGCTCAGCACCCCCCGGCTCAGTAAGCCCTGGCTCAGCACCCCCTGGCTCAGCATCCCCAGACGTAGTACCCCCAGGCTCAGCACCCCTAGGCTCAACACCCCCAGACGCAGCACCCCCAGGCCCCGCACCCCTAGGTCCAGCAGCCCCAGGCTCAACACCCCCAGCGGCAGCACCCTGAGCAGCACCAGAGTCACCAGTGACCTCGACAGGCTCGATTGCGTCTACCTGGGACACACCTGAAGGGGCAGGACCCTGAGGGGGCAGGGGGTGTACCTGAGGGGGACCTGGTACCAGGAAGAGTGGGGGTGGGGGGAGGGACGGAGTGCGGTAGGGGAAGAGGCGGTAGTAGGGGACCGACTCGTCAAACGTGACGTCCTGGGAGGACAGAACACGGCGAGAGGTGGGGTGGTAGAACTGCCACCCAGGCGCGTCAGGGGGGAACCCGAGGAAGACGCAAGGAGCAGCACGAGGGGACAGCTTGTCCGCAGACAAGTCGCGACAAACGCTCGAGATCCCCAGACCCGGAACGCCGACGCATCGCCAGCCTTCCCCGTCCACAGCAGGGTTGGGGAGGTCTCCGGCATGGAAACCCTGGGGTGGAGGTTGAGCTGATGCGCCGCGTACCTGACCGCAAACGGCCACAGAAAATGGGGGGCAGCCGCATGCATCATAGACGTACGAGCGACGTCCATGACCATGCGAATGCGGCGCTCAGCAATCCCATTTTGCTGCGGTGAGTCCGGAAGCGTGAAGGTCTGACGGATGCCTCGTGCACGACAGAAGGCTCGTAGAAGGCCAGAGGAAAACTCTCCGCCTCTGTCCGAGTGCAGACGCAAAATAGGAAAGTCTGAGCCAAAGCGCTGCCTAAGCTGAAGACGAGCTGCGCGGATCCAGTTGATCAACACCTCAGTGACATCACCCTTGCTGCGCAAGGGGAAGACTATGGTGTAACGCGAGTAGTCGTCAACAACGAGCAGAAAGTAGCGCTCGTGACCCTGTCCACGGACGCGGGCTGGGCCCCACACGTCCATGTGAAGCGTTTGCAACGGGGCCTCTGTCGGAGGAAACTGGGAGGAGTGGGGGGCAGCCCGCTGGCGCCCCTCGACACAGGGGACACATGCAGGGCCAGGGCCCTGAGGAAGGGGAGGGAGGGACCGGGGGAGACCAGACACAAGAAGACGGGAGACCATGCCTCTGAGCCGAAGCTGAGAGGGGTGGCCAAGGCGGTGGTGCCAGAGGAGAGTCTCGTGAGACAGGAGACTGTCAGAACATTATAGCTTACTTATTTGTGTAGGCTATAGTGGGGTATACCATAGGGGGTACAACCCAGTTAGGGTTTCCTATTTGTACTCACTTCGTTTATAGTTCACTCATTCTCTCGTTCACTTCTTCTCATGGTATCGAGCAGGTTCCCCTGTGGGAACTTTGCTTAGGGCCCACCACTTCGAATTTTTTTTTTCCTGCCCTAGCGCCCATTCTAGCGCCCGCCCTAGCGCCCTAGCGCCCGCCCTAGCGCCCGCCCTAGCGCCCGCCCCAGCGCCAGCCCTAGCGCCCTAGCGCCCGGCGCCCGCCCTACCGCCCGTGAGTTGCCGCCCGTGAGCTCCGCCCGTGAGCGCCGCTCGTGAGCGCCGCCC